CTTGTCTCTTCATTTTACTCTGTTATTAGATCTAATGTCTGTGCTATTCCTCATCACTCAACCTTCATTTGATTATATATTATTTGTTTAGGGTGTTATTTTTTTATATGAATTAAATGAGTTATTTTGTTGTTCTGTAATACTTTGTTACCTAAACTGGTTCTTGAAATTGTGTGTGTTGATATATGTATGTGTTTTTGAAGACCTTCTCAGCAGTGTTTGCCTTTGTTAGGGAAGAGGCAGAAGCATATGTTCTTTTTCAGAGTACTTGCTCAGTGCCATACAGAGTGGGGTAGATTGAGATGGTGTACTTTTTTTTTTTTTCAGGATTTTTCAAAAAATGGCATTCACATCCTCTAAAGGATCCTGTTGAAAGGAGATTTAGAGTAGGCTCAGAGCCAGTGTTACAGTGAGGTTTAAATGTAATATTAAAGAATTTATAGTCTATCATAAAGGGTTTTGGAGAGCAGCTGCCTAATGGAGGAAATTTTTGTGCTTGGCCTTGAAATTTGACATAAGCATATAGCTTTGCCTTTTTTATGTTAAAGTGGATTGTTAGTTAGCTAATATCTGACACTCTTAAAAAGGCATAAGAAAACTTTTATAGATGATAGGTATGTCTGTTACTTTTGATGTTTCTTGAATGAGTTATTAATATGATAGTTGCCAAATAACAATTTTGTAGCCTCATCATTCCTTCTACATTTTAATTGGTATTCTACTATAAGAAATGCTTTCTCTTCCCTCTATGATTGTAATTATTTATATATCAGTATGAATTTTTGGAGTCCTGTTTTTATTCAGTGGAATTTTATGCCATCATTATCATTATTTATTTTGAGTCTCAAGTTATTCCCAGTTTGACTGATAAGAGCCCTTCAAGCTGACTTCTGTGTCCTTTGTAATGCCCTCATTATTCTTTGAGCATTTCCTTTATTTTCTGACACAGCAGAATGTTCCAGGCTCATACTGCACTTGCTAGGCTCTAGCACTGAAATCAGCCATTTCTGCAAAGATTCCTCTTTTGTTTTTGTTTTTGTTTGTTTGTTTGTTTTTAAGTTAGAGACTGGATATTTAGAAACCATGATCCAAGTGCTAGGTATTTTCATGCTATTGAGGTGTTAGTCCTCCCAGGTCTTCTCTGTGGGCACAGCTAGGGTATGGTATATATGTACATGTACACACACATTTATTTCTGTGTTTATATACTTTGAAAACCATGCAGTCATACCAGTACCACCAAATCTAGTCTAAATTATTATATTATTGACCATATTTCCTGTTTTATATATTGCATTCCTCATGACTTAAATAACTGGAGGTTTATACCTCTTAATTCCCTTCACCTGCTTCATCCACCTGCCCCATTTTGGCAACCACCCATTTGTTCTCTTTGTCTATAAGTCTGTTTTTCGTTTTGTTTGTTTTGTTTTAAAGGTTCCAGATGTAAGTGAGATCATGTGGTATTTGTCTTTCTCTGACTTACTTCACTTAGTATAAACTCTTTTAAAACTTTTTCTCATACGTTGTCATAAATTAGGAGTCAGAACCTCTGGCTTTTTCAGGCGTTTTTAAAAAGTCATAAGTATTCCACTGAAAGTTGGTTGACATTTAAATTATTTGTTTTAGCCTTATAATCTGGAATTCAGTTTTTTTTTTATAGGAACAATATATAAACGGTGACAGGAGCCCCAAGTAAGACCCACAAAGGCTTCATTCCTAATGTCCTTTTTAAAAATTGTGGTAAAATATACGTAACATAAAATTTTTACTATTTTAACAATTTTTAACTATATAATTAATTCAGTATTGTTAACTACATTCACAGCCATCACCACTGTCCATCTCCATAACTTTTTCCGTCATCTCAAACGAGGAACTGGTTTAGACTGGGACATTAAAAAGAGATGAAGGAATCAGAATCTAATGACTTAAAATCTTTCTACAAGATACAAGAAATCCAGGTAGCAATAGTCCAGCCAATCTTTTCCTGATTCCTCACAGTTTACTTTATATGAGCTTAACTCAGTTGTAAAATGAAGGGTTAAACTTGATCTCTAGCTTCTTCAATTCTAATGGTCTTATAAAATCATAGAAATTTGTTATCATCTTTTAGAATAATTTGGAATGCATTTTTAGTTTATTTTCTAGAGCATAAGATGGTAAAAGATCATACTAATTGTTTTTCTCTTAATGTGAATAGATCTCCCATCCCTCACCCTGCATTGTAGCATCACTGTGTGTATTCATTGTTGACGGTTGGAAAAGTAGAATTTGTAATATAGAGGCAGGGGAGAAAAGCTACTCATAATCCTTCCCCTAGAAATTAACTTTTCAAACATTTTTTCCATTTTTAAAATAAAAGTTTTATCTTCCCTTTTTTATTTAATGTCGTGTCATGTCATAGGCAGTATCTCATATGACTTACAGGCTGTTCTTATAGATGATTGTTTATTGATGCATAGTATTTAATCTTATAAAATTACCATTATTTGTCTAACTTTATATTTAAGATATTCTGCATTTCCCCAACTATAAACAATGCTCAAGAGAACACTGAATATTAAAACATTTGATTTTTTTTATTTATTCCCTTAGGATAGATTTCTAGAATTACTAAGTCAGAGTTCAAACATTTTTAAAGTTATAGATAATTAGTTAAATAGCTTTTCATAAAGTTTGTATGAATTTATAGATCCAACAGCAGTCTGAGAGGACCTGTTTCTGTGCATTAGATTTTTTTGAGTTTTTTTTTATTATGATAAAATATATATAACAAAATTTACTATTTTAACCAGCTTTAACTGCACAATTCTGTGGTATTAATTATATTCCCAGTGTTGTACAACCATTACCACTATTTCCAAAACCTTTTCATTACTAAAACTTACTTTGTAACCATTATGCAGGAAACTCCCTATACTCCTCTCTCCCTGAACCCTGATAACTTCTAATCTACTTTCTATGAATTTACCTATTCTAAATATTTTGTGTAAGTGTAATCACATGATATTGACCTTTTGTGTGTGGTTAATTTCACTTAGCATAATGTCTTCAAGATTTATCCATGTTGTAGCATGTATCAGAACTTCACCCCTTTTTATGACTGAATTAATATTCATTATATGCATATACCACATTTTATTTATTTCTTCATCTGTTAATGGACACTTGGGTTGTTTCCACCTTTTGGCTGTTATGAATAATGCATCACTGAACACTGGTGTAGTATATCCAAGTCCCTCTTTTCAGTTCTTTTGAGTATTTACCTAGGAGTAGAATGGTAGGAGTCATATGGTAATCCTAGGGTTAGTTTTTTGAGGAACTGCCAAACCAAACTGTTTCCCACAGCGGCGGCACCATTTTCCATTCCCACCAGCAGTTTTTGAGGATTCCAGTTTCTGCACATCCATGTCAGCGCTTGTTATTTTCTGGGTTTGTTTTCACTTTTTAAAATTACATCCCCCTAGTAGGTATGAAGTGATATGTCATTTGAACTTTGATTTACATTTCCCTAATGAATAATGTTGAGTATATTTTCATGTGCATATTAGTCATTTGTGTATCTACACTTTGGAGGAGTGTCTATTCAAGTCCTTTGCCCATTTTTAAATTGTCTTTTTGTGATGAGTTGTAGGAGTTCTTTATATAGTCTACATATTAAACCATCATCAGATGTATGATTTGCAAGATTTTCTCCCATTCTATAGATTATCTTTTCCTTTTCTTGATAAAATCTTTTGTGTACCAAATAGCATTAACTCTGATGAAGTCTAATTGGTTTATTTATTGCTTTTTGCCACTTATGCTTTTGATACCATATTTAAGAATCCATTCTCAAATCCAAGGTCTTGAGGGTTTACCTCTATGTTTTCTTCTAAAAGCTGATGGTTTTAGGACTTATATTTAGGCCATATTTCTTCTAAAAGCTGATGGTTTTAGGGCATATATTTAGGCCTATATTTTATATAGGATGTGAGGTAGTGATTTAACTTCATTCTTTTGGATGTGGATATCCAATAGTCCCAGCACCACTACTGAAGAGACTATACATTTTTGATTTGATTTGCAACAGAAAGTCAACATTGTAATTTTATTTTGTGTTTCTTTTATTGATGAGGAAAAGCATAGTTTCAAGTTTAGCAATTTGTTCTTCCTGTTGTCTCTCTCAAAGTACATTGTCCTCTTACTGATTTGATTTTAATTTTTTTTATTTATGTAGGATGTCATTGGTATAGCAAATATTTATGAATTAATACAGTTTATAGGGATTGGGACTTGTTACAAAACATCTTTTCTATGTTCCAGCTACATTTTTCTAAAAATAATTTAATTAAGCCAGGTAGAGTAATTGAGTACAAATATCAAAACTTCTTAGTTTAAATTATGTCACTAGTGTTCCCACTTCCTTTTTTGTTTTTTCCGGAAATTGCCACATAATAGGTAATCAGTGAATGTAAATTGAATTAATGACTTTACAGGCAGATGTAAGGCAGATTATTACACTTCTTGATAGTAGGGGTTAATGGCATAGATTGTTTAAAATGATATAAATTTAGTCCTTTGAATATTTTGTCTGTGGATCTGTAAGCCTCAATTGCCTGCCTCATGGGCAATAAAATTACTTTTGATTCTTTGAATGCAAAGAAGAAAATAGTCAGATATATCCTGAATGCTAGGAAGATACTTTTGTAGTCTATGAAGTGAATGTCTTGTCTCCCAGTGGAGGAATATTGTTAAGTCATTATATTTTATTATGTTTGTTTAAACATCTAAAGAGTAGTCATTCATTTTAATTACATAATCATTAAAATTATTATTGGTGGTATAATTATTTCTAAAATAATTTCTGGGGAGCATTTTCTCATTGAAATTTAAGTAATATTTTACCTGCTTCAGTTATTTCTGGAAACTATAACTTATCTTTATGACAAAACTTTGTTGCATGTTTCCCTTTTATTTGGTATTTTTCCTGATTTTTTGTCGTTGATGATTTTTAGCCAACAGAAGCTGTACCTCCCTCTTCTCCCACTGTCCCTGTGATCCCTGTCCTGCCAGTCCCTGCTGAGAGTACTGTCATCCTACCCACCATACCACAGGTTTTTATTAGTTTCCTTTTCTTTATAAAATTTTTGTTTGTTTTTAATGTTTCATTTGTATTCTTTTCAGATTGTTTTACCTGTTTCTTTGTTAGATTTGGTAATTCACTTTGAGCTTCAAATGGTATTTGTAGGCAATGAAATATCTAGAATTTAATATAAAATGGGTTTAATATTTGCCATTTTATTAGGTTGTCTATGAAGTAAGACACATTCTAAACTTCATAACATTGATCCTTCTTAAATTTAATATCATGCTTTTTGTACTTGTAAATCTGTACAAAACCGTTTTTAAATATTTTGCTTTGGGGAATTTTGTTTATTTTCTAAAGATCATAAGAATTCTTGTCCTCCTGATCTTGTATTGGATGTATCATTTTATATATAGCATTTTATTTTCCAGTGTATATTTATCTTCTTTTGAAATATTCATCTTTCTGTCATTTGGTAGGATAACATACTTTACATTTATTATTTAAAAGTAATAGCTGATATATATATATATATATATATATATATATATATATATATATATATATATAAAATATATGGGAACTCTTTGTGGTATCTTTGTAACTTTTCTATAAATGTAAAACTATTCTAATATCATAAGTTTATTTTTAAAAGTTAACATATAACAGTCAAAAAATAAAATGAAATAATAGCCAAATGTCAGAGAATCTGAGCATTTTTAGTTTTCAGAGCTCTAGTAGTCCCAAGGAATGGCTTGTTAAGACATGAATTACCCTACCAACAGAATTATCCAAAGTTAAAATAATGGTAGTATTATTAAGTATAATAATAATGATCTTTGGTGTGAAAGATCTCAATCTCATTTAAAGTGTAAATAAATACATCTTTAGATATTTTTACTGTTACTGATCTGTAGCATAAAATCTAGTAAAAATGGTGTGTTTACTGTATAAAGGCAGTGTCAAAATTAGTCCTCTTGGGGGAAATACGGAGTATCAGCTGTTATTATTCACAACTCAGTGCCCTTCCCCTCTCCTTAAAAGTGAAAATCGGTAGGAACATTATACAAACTAGGATTCTAGGGGAAATATAAGGTATTACTAAGACTTTAATCTGTGTTATGTTACTACCTCCATATAGTCTTTGACCCTTTATAAAAATCATTAAAAGTTGAATCATTGTAAAACTACCAAGAGTTAAATAGGTGAGTCCAGATGGATATTTTCTTTATATTGCAGAGAAGAAATTGAATTTATAAATAAAATATAATTCTAAATAAGTAGCCAAAGGGTTATTGTAATATTGTAATAAGGTAACATCTTTCCAAGTAACTAGGATTTTTTTTTAAGTAGTTTCAAGTAACTAATTTTTTTTAAGTAGGAGATTTGAAAGTTTATTTTACTCTTGTCACTTTAACTTGTCTTTTGATGTTAAAATACTTTTCTGGAATCATTGGAAATTTTGTAGTAGTTTCTATTCTTATATTCAATAGGGAACCAATTTTTTCCTGTTTAAAGTTCTCTGACTTACTTACGCCAAGTGTCTCTAACTTAGCATCACACTACACTTGGAAATTGTTGAGACATTGCATAGCCTTGTAGTTATAAATAAAGAACTTAGAGTCAGATTGATCTGGTTTGGAATTCCCATCCTACCACTTTCTAGCTGTGTAACCAAGCAGTTTACTTAGCCATGCTAATCTTCTCTCTTTACTTATCTGTAACACTGAAGATGATAATAGTACTTACTTGAGATATTTCATAGTGACTGAAAGAATAATAATGTATGTGCAGCTGGCACACGATCTTGGTTATTCGTATTATTAGTGTTATTTCACATTTCCTTACGATAGTAAACCAAGGAACAAGTTTAAAAAACAAACGAGGATTTGTGAACAAGAGCCTTATTTATACTACCTAGCCTCATTTTAGGTTTTAAATATATTTATAAGTCCATGTAGAGTAGTTTAATAATTTATGTTGTTTTATATGAGAAGCTTGTGTTGAGTGTACCTCATTTTCCAGAGTAAGTATGTGCCTGATTGAGTGTAACATGTACATTATAAAATTAATAGAAGTGATTTAAAAATTTGTCTCAAAATAAATTTTGAAATCCACACCTAGTATATAACCTGATTTTAACTTAATACATAGGTATAATTTTTCTTCTAAATATCTACTAATTTTTTTTCCTGAAGATTTACATTTTAGATGAGTCAGGATGTAATAGAAATACAAATGGGAGATACAAGATATAGAGTCTAGTCCTGAATTGTGACCTAGGCAGGTTACTTAACCTCTAAGTTTTATACTCCCTTCAACTATTAAAGGGAGCGTTGGGGCAGGGAGGACTAATGCCTCCCTAATTACTTCAGAATGAATTTGAGGACAGCTAGATAGCTAAGTATATGAAAAATTTTTAAATATTATTTTTCATTACTTGTAGAACTTTAAACTTTTTAGAGTACTTTTATATTGATCTTGTCATTTATATATTTTATAGAAACCTGCAGTAGGTATTATGCTTATTATTCAGAGTGGTACAGGGCTGTTTGAATGGCTGTTTGAAGCTGCAGAAAGAGCCTGGACTTTATAGTGAGACCTGGCTTTACCACTTCCTGGATGTGTGATGGGGAAATTACTCAGTTTCTCATAGCCTCCGTTTCTCCACATAGAAACTGAGTGCATATAGGTGTATAACAGATACTAGTCCTAATGGAGATACAATCATATAATCTCTATGATACTGGCCTATTTTAATATATATGCTTATTTCCATCCCAGAGTAAATACTCTTCTCTAAAACCAGATTCTTTAGCTATCATGTAATTAAAGTATTGTTGAAAATGCTTTATAACTAATTTTATGTGTTTGTGTAAAAGTCTCTGTTCATACTCAAATAGATTCTTTGGAGGGATTGATTGTGTTCAGTTTTTCATTGTTTCAATCATGTAGTTACTGAGATAATATAACTTTTGTGTATGCAAAAGACAACTTGACAGATAGCTCCCACATGACATTAGAGTAGTTAACATTAGAGGTAGATCCACTGTAGAGCATTTTGTTGCTTCTGGACCATTCAAGTTTCACAAAACATCTGAATGTTGACTCTTAAATGATTTGATCATTAGTATAATCTAAAGCATGACTTGATACATTTTTATTTCATTGATAATCTTAAAAAAAATAGCATACTTGGGTTACTTTGGTGAGCCTTTTTTAACCATACACTAATATCTCACTGCAGTGCCCCTATTCTGTTTGTGTTTTGGGTTTTGTTTTTGTTTTTGTGTTGGTTTTGTATTATTTTCAAATCATTTCAGACTTACAGAAAGTTGCAAGAATAGTACAAAGAAATGCTATATACCTTCACATGTATCTCCCAATTGTTAACATTTTTACTTGCCACATCTGCTTTATCATTCCTCTTATATGGTTATGATTTTATTTTTTGTAAACCAGTTAAAAGGAAGTTTTACTCATTCCCCTCTTACCCGTGAATAGTAATTCTTTACAATACTAAATATTTTTCCTAAGAACAAAAATATTACCATAATATAATGAACTAAGCCAGAAAATTAACATTAATATAATACTGCAGACTTTAATTATATTTTGCCAGTTGCCCCAATAATGTTCTTTATAAGAAAAACAAAAACAGGTCCTTTGGCCAGTCCAAAACTACAGTTAATTTTCATGAGTCTGCTTTAATCTGAAGTAGCTCCATAGTCTATCTTTTATGCTTGTGCACTTTTACAGGAGAACAGGCTAGTTGTTTTATAGAATATCCTGCAATCTGTGTTTGATGCATTTTCTTAATTATATTGAGGTCATATATTTTTTTCCAGTTTTTTTTGTGGTACAATACACATAATGTAAAATTTACCACCTTAACTATTTTTAAGTTTACAGTTCAGTGGTATTAAGTGCATTCCTATTGTCATAGGAACATCATCATCATCCATCTGTAGAACTCTTTTCATCTTGGAAAATTGAAACTCTATACCCACACTAATTTCCCATTCTTCCCTCCTCCCCCCTGGCAAATGCCATTCTACTTTCTGTCTCTGATTTTAACTCAAGTACTTCATATGAGTGGAATCATAACAGTACTTGTCTTTTTGTAGCTAGTTTATTTCACTTAGCATAGTGTCCTTGAAGTTAACCCATGCTATAGTATATGTAGCATCAGAATTTCCTTTCTTTTAAAAACTAAATAATATCCCATTTTATGTATATATCAAGCATTGCTTATCCATTCATCTGTCAATGAACAACTTGGGTTGCTTCCACATTTTAGTTGTTTACACAGGTGTACAAATACCTCTTCAAGACTCTACTTTCAGTTCTTTTAAGTGTATACCTGAAAGTAGAATTACTGGGTCATATGGTAATTTTTAATTTTTAGGTTAATCATACTATTTTTCACATTGGTATATCATTGTGTATTCCCACCAACAGTACACAGTGGTTCCAGTTTCTCCACATTCCTCACCAACACTCCTTATATTCTGTTTTCATAATAGTAGCTAGCCTAATAGGTATGAGGTGGTAGCTCATTGTAGTTTTGATTTGCAGCTCACTAATGATTAGTGATGTTGAGCATCTTTTCATGTACTTACTGGCCATTTGTATATCTTCTCTGAAGAAATATCTGTTGAAGTCCTTTACCCATTTTTGAATTAAGCTGTTGGTTTTTTTGTTACTGAGTTTTAGGAGTTCTCTATATATTCTAGATATTAGTTCCTTATCAGATACATGATTTGCAAGTATTTTCTCCTGCTCTGTGGGTTGCCTTTTTACTCTGGATAGTGTGATTTCATGTGCAAAATTTTTAGCTTTCAGAAGTCCACCTTGTTTGTATTTTCTTTTGCTGCCTGTGCCTTTGGTTTTATATCCAGTGACTCATTCCCAAATGCAGTGTCATGAAGCTTTTATTTTCTTCTTAGGATTTTATAGTTTTAGATCTTTTGTTTTAGTCATGGGCGCACTTTAAATTAGTTTTTGTATGTGATGTTAAGTAGGGGT